ACACCTAGAAAAACTGTACTTTCTTCCTGGTATTCCACGATTAAAGGCCTTTCTCTAAAAATCAAGCTACTGTAATTTATCACAGTTGCAAATCAAGTAAACAGCTACAACATCCATCCATACAGCTGGCTCATTATTCAGCAGCGGCCCTTCTTTTAAAACCAACTGATTTCATATAAAGCACAGCTGTTGATTTGGACTCTTTTAAAAAGGAAATGTCCTTTTAGCTTTATAATAGGACACTGAAGACAAATGGGTTTGCTGGATATGCAATGCCGTGCCAGAATATGTTATAGCAGCAGTCACTGCATTTTCATTTTAAGCACCTAAATGTAAGCAACCATAGCTCCAGATGGTATGATGGCTTCAAATATGCAAACACACTTCAATAACCAATATAAAGCAGAGAACGTGTGAAAAAAATTAAAGTGAATTAAATACTTGTTTGTAAGCTAATGCTAATTTCCACCTATAGTCCTTCAACTAGACCTAGCATTTATTCACAGCTTACATAGTTCTTGATTGCATGGATGTATTAAAGCCTCTTTTTGGATCCTAATTTTCTGTTCGTTGTTGACTTGTGCAATGTAACGGTCTACATCAGTTTTTCTCAACCAGGGTGCCCTGAGGTTTCTTCAGGGGTGCCATGGCAAAAAGTCTACAAATTGCATAAAAAACTTATATACAAGCCAGCAGGTGCCTTTTCGTTACACAAAGCCAAAGGTTTTCATTGTGCACCATTACAACCTTCTAGCTGCGTCCTGACAACCAATGACATCATCAGTTGATAAGGAGGATGTCAGCTGCCTGCACAGCATCCTAGTTTTACCCTCCCCTGCCCTTCTCCATCAGTGCTGGGGTCACATTAGCTCAGCCACGCCTGGCCCCCCGGATGTTTTCTGCCCCATTGGATACCCAGAGGAGGCCTGCTCCCACTGATTGGAGGGCTCATGACTGTCTGTGCATAACGTGATTTTATGTAAGTGTATCACATGTTTTATGAGCTTTGTATCATGTCTGTATGCTTTTTTTTGTTGGTTTGCTATCTAAGTCTATGTATCTCTATTAGATATACAAATAGCCCCCGAGGAAGTGACGGTAGTCGCGAAACATGTCGGGCCAATTCTCCAGCACCAGAATGTCCCTCACCCCCCTATAGGATCATCCTGGTGGCTTTTCCATGCCTCATCACTGGTTATGCTCCTTCTGTACATGGTGGGCTCTGGGACATTCGTTGCGTGGATATTACCAAATAGGTTTTTAATACTATGGTCTATACGTGACAATCAAATAAAGCAATATTGATTTTATTTATACGTGTACCTAGTCTTTGTGCCTATAAAGTCCATTTGCAGTATTTCTGTTTCTTCTGACTAGTCAAAATTAGAACGTGGCACTAATGTATATATTGGGAGTGACCGTTCACCTGAGGGCACCTCAGCCTCTTTTTATTCAGTGATGGAGAAAAGCTGAGGGAGAAGAGGAACACTGGAATACTACTTAGTGTTCAAAAGTGAATTTGATTTGGAAGAATAAATCACCTCTAATGTTGGGTGTCCTACATGTGTGGATGTTGCTGTGTTATATCTAACAATTAGAATAGTTTTTCACATTTTGGAAAGCGTTGCTCTTTTAAAGTTATGGACAGTCTGGAGGCACCCCATTTTAGAATGGGGTGCCTCCAGACTGTCCATAATTTTGAAGGGTGCCTCAGGACTGTCCAAAATTTTAAAGGGTGCCTTGACTGTAAAAAGGTTGAGAAACACTGGTCTACATTTATGAATTATGATTCTGTCTCTTGCTGGCAAGTCATTACAGTCTTTAGTTTGTTCAGTACATTCCCCCTGCTAGAATTTAAAATATGATATACATGTTTTTGGACTTGATAGAATTTAAAACTGAACTCCATGCAAACATCTTAATACACAGATGATATACATATAAAGAAGCTGTTTTCTTTCTTGTCCATCCATTTGTAAGATTGAAATTGCTATTCCACGGTGCACAACTGTACTGTATATACTGTACGGTATACTGCTGTATTTCAGTTACAGGTCTCCTCCCCATTCCCACCTTATGACTGGACAGTGAAAAGTGAAGCAGGAAAATAATGAGTTCATCTCTCTGTCACTGTGCTCTCTCCTACTATGAGCATGTTACTTACACTGCAGCGCAAGTGATTAGCCCTTGAACTGCTTCTCCCCCTAAAAAATGGCTTATTAACTACCTTTTGGTGTGACCTTCTGGTGTGTCTCTGCACCTTAAGATGTAATCGGCTGCCTCCAGGCATACCTGCCCTTAATGTATCTATTGCTTTAGGTCCCATTGTGATTGATTGTGGATTTTTGTATTTATTTATTTATAATAAAGGACTTGTCAAAAACTGTGTTTGTGTTTTTATTTACATTTGGCATTTTTTTTAGTGAATGAGTACCCTATACTCATTCACTAAAATGAGTATAGGGTACTCATTTTAGTGAATGAGTATAGGGGATGTCATGATCTGGGATGTCATGATCTGGGGGCCCCCTTCTTAAAGGGAGCTTTTAGATTCCAATAAGCTGCCCCCTGCACCCCCACAACCACCAGGCCAGGGTTGTGGGGAACAAGGTACTTTGCTGGGGGGGTCCATGTTGAGGGCATGTGGCTTGGTATAGTTTGGGGGGGGGGGGGGGGGGGGGTCGATGCTTGCTTTTTCCCCCCTCCCTTTTCCTGGACTGCATGCTCACATAAGGCCCAAGCCATTTTTTGGTTTGGGATTCCCCTCAAAATCTTTACCAGACTGGTATGTATTTTGGGTGGACCACACATTTTTTTTTTGACTTGGGGTTCCCCCTTACAATACACACCAGACCCAAAGGGCCTGGTGTAGATTGGGGGGGTGGGGTTATTCTTTTTTTTTTCAATGCCAGCCCTTTTTTCACATTGTGTTGTCAGTGGGGCATTTGCACTGACAGAAGGGATGACTTGTTGTTAGGAAGCCGGCAGATACTTCTCAACATCCAATTACTCATCCCCACTGTGAGCGGATGCCAGCTCCTTAGCCACTTTCTGTCCAGACGCTTTTACCCCCTTCCTGTCCAGGGCAATTTTCAGCTTTCAGCACTATCACACTTTGAATGACAATTGCGCGGTCATGCAACACTGTACCCATATGAATTTTTACCATTTTTTGAGACAGATAAATCTTTATTTTGGTGGTATTTATTCACCGCTGGGATTTTTATTTTTTGTAAATGAAAAAGTCCAAACATTTTGAAAAAAAAGTGTTTTTTTTATAAAATTTTGCAAATAAATAATCTTTCATCATATATCTTGGCCAAAATGTATTCTTTTTAGTGAAAAAAATAATAAGCCAAATTAGTTTATAACCAAAAATTATAATTTTTAAACTTTTTTTTACAATTTTATTTTTTTATATTATTATTATTTTTTTGTTTTTTTTTACATACTGTCACCCTAGTAGTACAGTGTCACCATGGAGACACTGTACTACTTGTGGGGGGTTATGAAGATTTTTTTTTTTTTTTTTACAGCGATTGCTTTTACACCCATATAGGATGTAAAAGCAATCATTTCTCTTTCTCTCTGCAATCTTGCAGCCATTGAGAACTACTGAGTGAGCTGTGATTGGTCACAGCTTGTTACATGGTACAAGGCTGTCATGAATAGCCTTGTACCATGTGACCTCTGTGATCATTCACAGATTTCACCATAGTAAGCAATGATGTCACAAGTGACATCTTGCGTACTACTTTGCATGTGATCACTGATTGGCCAATCAGTGATCACATGATCGGGACCTCGTGCAGAGGTCCCGTCCGATGATCGTTGTTTCACTGTGTCCAGAGGACACAGCGGGCACCGGATTGCGGTGCTGCGCGCTCCCAGGGAGCGCGCACAGCTAGGAATGGTGGGTGCCGTTTATGAACAGCAACCCGTCCCTGGAGTGCCACCGTCCTGCCGTTTATAAACAGCAGGGGGACGGCAAGTGGTTAAACGCCAAAGCTCACAAATGTTGTAAAGGCTGTACAAAAATGTGCAAAACCACTCAAAAACAAAAAAAAAAAAACTTGCACAAAAACCCCCAAAAAACTCTTAAAAACACTATGCTCAGGTGTGAATGCCACCTAAATGGTCAAACATGAAAGCTCTCAAAGACTAGAGGTAAGACCACAGTATAAAGAGGAGCCTTGATGAGACAGTGTGGCTTCCACATATTTGCAAATGTTGTGCAACTAAAACTTGTTTTTAACACAAATTATTAGATATTGTAATTTCTTTTTGTTTTGAAGACTAGCCGGTAAGTGTGTTGGGAAATACACTTTGCTTCGTTTGCTCTGTTCAAAGGCCTTCCATATGGCTGGCATTTTTGTTTAGCTTACTGGAATTGCCATAGGGGCTCACCGGACGCTTGCAGCTGCCATTCTGTGCTGTGCCTTAGGTGTGCCCCTGTGCATTTACGAAGGATTGCACTGCCTCCAGATATACCTGCCCTTAATTTATCAATTGCCGCATATGCTCCAACATGGATACTCTCATAGACTAGCATTATACAATTGGGCTTTGACAAGGCAATGCAGCTTCCATATTTATTTGCAAATGTTATGCAACTAAAACCTTTGTTTTTAACGCACATTGTTCAACAGCATATTTATTTTGTTTTCTAACTGGAAAGTGTGTTGGAAAATACATTTTGCTAAGCTTCAATAGGTGTGCATAACTCTACAAATATCCTGAAAGTTGACTGTACCAAAAACAGACCTGAAAGTTTCACTGTTAATGTCTGCTAGATAGTATATTGATACCCATGGTCCCCAGTAGATAAAATAAGGCAGTTGCAGTTACTGTATCTGCACCACGGAGTTAATGTGAAAAAACATGGCATAGGGTATCTGCAAAAAAGAAGATCATGTATACACAGTGATAATATCCAATGTTCTATCATGACAGCTTTCATTAGCATATGCATTGAATGATGTCTCTGGTTGACAACTTACATTCTTGCAGAGTACTTGATGACTCTGATGGAGACCGTGCAGAATGAGCAGCTGACCTTGTTTTTTCTTCCTCTCCTTTCTTTTTCCCAGTGTCCTTTGAGTCTGATTTCTCTGTAAAATAAAATGGAATAGTAGCCGGAGGGAATATTGAAAAAAAAAAAAAGACAGCAAGTAAACCAGGTAAAATTATTATGGAACACATAAAAATAGAATGAACAATTACTATGAGGCAGCTGTTAAAAAAGAGGACTTAGTGCAGGAAAGTTGTGCATTTTATATTTGTACCACAAAGTGAAAGCACAATTGACAAAGCTTTTACATGATGTACTGTAACATGTTATAAAAAATGATTTTGAGGTGGTAATAGATATTACTTGACAATATTGATAAGAGCCCGTAGTACAAAAGTATAAAAATGAACCGGCTATTGCTGTGCTGTCTTATGACTCATTGGGGGAGGGTTTACTAAAACTGGAGTACACAGAATCTGGTGCATAGAAACCAATCAGCTTCTAGGTTTTATTTTCAAAGCCTAATTAAACAAACTGAAATTAGAGGCTGATTGGTTGATTGGCACAGCTGCACCACAATCTCTGTGCTCCAGTTGTAGTAACTTTCTGTTATTGTTTACTAAACTACTTACTTCTTTAAAGAACAATATTTTTTTCCCCTTTTTTATCCCCTGTGGAACAAACTACACGTAGGACCTTCTCCCATGTTGTTTTGTGCTTCCTAAGTCTGTTTTTACACAGGGGACAGAAAAGGGGGAAAATTAACGATAGTTATTTTTTATTCTCTTTTGAGCTGGTGCGGATTTTGAAAGGGTTAGGGACTTTTTTTTTCGCCGCAGATTGCGTTATGTGTGTAATAGACTTCAATGGAACTGCGCCACAAATGCAACTGTTGAGATTTTGATGCATTTTTATGCATGTTGCATTTGGCGTTTTGTGCTTTGTGTGAATTTAAGCTGGTTGTTAAGGAGCCTTATCCTTAACAACCAAAGAGTCATCAGCTGTCAGCGGGGTTCCCCACCGACAGCTAAATGTAAACAAAACAACTGCCGTCAATTAAAAATTTAGGAAAAAACTGGGTGCCCCCTCCAATCCCTACCAGGCACTTCGGGTCTGGTATATATTTTAAGGGGAACCCCACACAAAAAAAAAAAGTGTGGGGTCGTCCACTCCAAATCCATACCAGACCCTTTTCCAAGCATGCAGCCCGGGAGGCCAGGCAAGGGGGGAGAAATGAACAAGCACCCCCCGAACCATACCAGGCTGCATGCCCTCAACATGAGGAGGATGCTTTGGGGCAGGGGTCCCCCCCAAAGCACCTTGTACCCATGTTGATGAAGACAAGGGCTTCTTCCCCACAACCCTGGGCTGTGGTTAAAGGGGTCAGCGGGGGGGTCACTTTAACAAGGTAGGCTCCAGATCCCACCACCTCATATGAATGAGTATGGAGCACATAGTACCCCTACTCTTTCACGAAAAAAGTAAAAACACAACAGTTTTTGACAAGTCCTTTATTAAAAAACTAAAAAAGTGGAGTGCGCATGCGTGGGCCGGCGGGACGGACATGTTCCGCTGAGGCTCCGTCTCCCCGTCGGGTGACAGCGCCACAAAGCAGCGGGTCCCGGCCCGCAACATATCCTAGGGGGACCCGACCGAAGAGGCAACCCTCCCAGGGACCGATCCGCCTTCATCTGCGGCGGATCCCATGCAGTAGGTCGGAGTAATCCGACGGGACACATGTCCCAGCGGCAAGCGCCGCACAGGCCCGCCCACCACAGCCCATACTGAACCTGGGCAGGAGAGAGAAAAGAAAAGGGGGGCTGAGAACACCATAACAGCCCCCCCCACTGACAGGCAACAAAATGGTTAAGGGGGCACCCCGGCACCAGGTCCCCCCTTCTACAAAATCAATCAAGGAGGCCCTGGCAAAGGCCTCCACAAAGATGGCCACCGCCCCAGCACATGGAAGCAAGAAGGGGACAACTGCATATGCAGCCCTACAGGATCCGCAGCCCAGCCATCCCTGCACGTCTGAGGGTGAGTCTGACACTGAAACAGATGCCCCTACACAAGCCCTGACGCCTGACCTTACAACCCCTGACCTGTTAACTCGCTTTGAACAAATGCTACACAAAGCTTTGAAGCAAACCTCGGATCGCATCACTGCTACGCTATCCAGGGAAATCCGTGAACTGGGGCAACGCACTGCAGACCTAGAGCAGAGGGTAGATGGTCTTGATACCACGCTTCAGACACATACGGATGACCTTGACCTTCTGCGCGACGAAAACGCAACACTATTGACACGACTGGAGGACTTTGAAAACCGGGCACGACGCTCAAATCTGCGTATTCATGGCCTCCCGGAAACGATCGTCGATCTCCATTCAACAGTAACTGCTCTGTTCCAAGAGCTTGCCCCAGCTATCCCAATCGAAAGATTGGAATTGGATAGAGTACACAGGGCGTTAGCACTACGACGCACGGATGGTCCACCGCGTGACATTATAGCCAAGCTCCACTTTTTCCGCACTAAGGAGCAACTATTACAAGTTGCACGTAACACAGAATCTCTACAGTTTCAAGGTCATTCATACCAGTTATTTCAAGATTTGAGCCCCACAACAATCACCAAGCGCAGGGCTATGAAACCCCACCTACAAGTACTTCAACAACACGTTATACCGTATCGGTGGAGCTTCCCCTTTGCAGTGCGATTCCGTTACCAATCCCGGGATTACACCTGTAAGACTCCAGAAGACCTACTAGACACCCTGCAGATCTTACAATTGCATTCCTCAGCGACGCCTTCAGAAAGCACCAAGCGGAGGTCCACATCCTGCTCACCGCGGAAGTCCCTCCCCACGCCTGCCACTGCAGGCCCACTCAATCTCCACAAACGAGGCCGCTTTTCATCTCCGGGTCTATCTTCACAAGATACCATGGACTGAACTGTGTCTCATGTTTATCCTTCTTCACTCCACTTTATTTTGGCCACACACACCAAACGGTGTATGCTTTTGACTGTCATTACTGTCGGTGCGGTTAATACCGTCAATATCCTCTCTCCCTTCATCTGTTAAATTTTGGTTGTCCCATCACCTGGGAATTGTTCGGCTCCTCCCCTCTTCAGAGCCCCACTTTAGGTCAGTTTGTTTGGGAACCTAGGCTCTGACGGCATGTGACGCCACAACCCTTCTCCTATGATGTTTCACTGATACTGCTAATGCCGTCTGAGTTTGGGATAGCGTGATCTTTATGAATGTATTTTCTTTATGAACCTTTTTTTTTTTTTTTTTTTTTTTATACGGGACCTTGCTACCTTCTCTCAATCAAGTTGCTGTCATCCTCACGGACCGTGTACCTGCACACTCCAACCTAGCCCCTGCGTTATTGGCTATTTAATAACGCTTGGGCTACTACTGTTCCCTAGCCCACCCTGACCCAGGGTGTCCTTGGGAACAAATCTTTTAGGCCTTACATGGCCTCATGCACCCCTTCCTTCCTGTTACCTATCCCATGTTGTACCCCTCCTCCCTCCCTCCAACATGACTTCAGGACTCTACACAACACACTCCACAATGCCCTCATCCCCCGTCAGGCTCCACCTTGGGAAGTAATGACAGGCTATCTTAATCACTATGCGTTTTCCTCGTGGGTTCATTAAATATCCTACACCCTGAACGTGCAGGGCCTCAATATCCCACAGAAACGTAATAAGGCCTTCCGAACCTTTGCTACGCTTAAAGCTCATGTGGTTTGTCTACAGGAAACACACTTCACTCCCAACTCCACTCCTAAGTTTTTTGGCCCCCGATATCCTCAGGTCTACAGTGGGGATCGAAAGTTTGGGCACCCCAGCTAAAAATTTGTATTGATGTGCATAAAGAAGCCAAGGAAAGATGGAAAAATCTCCAAAAGGCATCAAATTACAGATTAGACATTCTTATAATATGTCAACAAAAGTTAGATTTTATTTCCATCATTTACACTTTCAAAATAACAGAAAACAAAAAAATGGTGTCTGCAAAGGTTTGGGCACCCTGCAGAGTTTAATATCTTGTACTGCCCCCTTTGGCAAGTATCACAGCTTGTAAACGCTTTTTGTAGCCAGCCAAGAGTCTTTCAATTCTTGTTTGAGGTATCTTTGGCCATTCTTCCTTACAAAAGTCTTCCAGTTCTTTGAGATTTCTGGGCTGTCTGTCACGCACTGCTCTTTTAAGGTCTATCCATAGATTTTCAATTATGTTGAGGTCAGGAGATTGTGAAGGCCATGGCAAAACCTTCAGTTTACGCCTCTTGATGTAATCCCCCGTGGATTTCGAGGTGTGTTTAGGATCATTATCCATTTGTAGAAGCCATCCTCTCTTTATCTTCAGCTTTTTCACAGATGGCATCAAGTTACCATCCAAAATTTGCTGAAATTTTATTGAATCCATTTTTCCTTCTACTCGTGAGATGTTCCCTGTGCCACTGGCTGCAACACAACCCCAAAGCATGATTGATCCAACCCCATGCTTAACAGTTGGACAGAGGTTCTTTTCATTAAATTCTGTGCCCCTTCTTCTCCAAACGTACCTTTGCTCATTCTGGCCAAAAAGTTCAATTTTAACCTCATCAGTCCACAGAACTTGTTTCCAAAATGCATCAGGCTTGTCTATATGTTCATTTGCAAAGTTCAAACGATGATTTTTGTGGTAAGGCCGCAGAAGAGGTTTTCTTCTGATGACTCTTTCATGAAGACCATATTTGTACAAGTATCTCTTTATAGTGGAATAGTGTACCACAACTCCAGTGTCTGCCAGATCTTTCTGGAGGGATCGTGCAGTAAAACGTGGGTTTTGAATTGTTTTTCTCACAATCCTGCGAGCTGTTCTGTCTGATATTTTTCTTGGTCTTCCAGATCTTGCTTTAACTTCCACTGTTCCTGATGACTGCCATTTCTTAATTACATTCCGAACAGAGGATATTGACATCTGAAAAAGCTTTGCTATCTTCTTATAGCCTTCTCCAGCTTTGTGAGCGTCAACTATTTTCAGTTTCAGT